CATCCTCAAACTCTGTTAAGAGAACAGACATAGGATGGAAACATTGTCAACCTACCAAAGAGAATGATACCAATGAAACTATCTGCAATTATTGTAAAAAAATCATGAAAGGAGGAATTACAAGAGCAAAGCAACATTTAATGGGAAAGAAGGGAAATGTTGCACCTTGTCAAAGTGTTCCACAAGAGGTTAAAGATGAGTTGTGGGCACTTGAGAAAAATAAGAAGATGAAAGAAAGTGAGTCATGTCAAAGAGTAATGGAAGATGTGACTCTTGGTAGTGAAGATACATTGGAGGGAGATTTAAGAGAATTAGAAGTTGAGACACTTGGGGCCAATGAAAGGAAGAAGGTTGCTATGAAAAAGGGGCCTATTGACCTTTTTTGTAAACGTCCGGAAACAGCAATTGCAAAAAACAAGAAGGAGAAATTGAAGCAAATAAGTATAAGGGAGAGTTGTGACAAGGAAGCTACAGCAAGGGTCCACCAATATATAGCCCGGTTTTGGTATCAAGCTGGACTATCTTTTAATATGATCAAATTGGAGAGCTTTCATGACATGGTTGCAGCTATTGGGTCTTTTGGACCGCATTTGCGACCTCCATCTTATCATGAGATAAGAGTTCCACTTCTCCAAAAAGAGATGGAGTATACTGAAAAATTGATGAAGATTCAAAAGGGACATTGGGCTAGTTTTGGTGGAAATGATCCACTTACTTGCAATCAAGTTTATGATGTTTCAGGGGTTGGAGAGCCTCTAATGTATACTACGCGTAACAAAAGGAAGCAACCTCCAAGTGCAGAAGGAGCATCATCTCAAAAAGTTTCTAAAAAAGGCAAAGGAGTGTCTTCTTTAACTAGGAAAGACGCAATTACTTTTGCGCCCGACGCGCATATTGCTTGCAAAAGACGAGGCACTCTGTTCTTCTCAAGCCCGGCGCGGGTAATGTTACGCCCGACACAACCACTCTGCTCTGCTCCCTACTCCTTAGATTTCCAATCCTAAGGGTCTTAAATCCTCAAGTCTCTAGTCAATACCTGCACAAAAATGAGGTGTATTAAGGTATTGTTAGCTAAATTTGGGTTAGTTATATCTGCACACAAAATGAACCAAAAAGAGAACAATTGTATTGCAATGGTTCAAAGAATGAGTGAAATTGTTTATTAAGTCTTGTCTAAAAAGAGGTATAATTGAGACTTAACAAACTACTCGAGGAGCTGAGACGCGTTCACTCAGTAGCACAGCAGTCGACCTTAGATCTCGACCCCCAGATAGACCATGATGAAAGGGTAGAGCCCATCGAAGACAAGCAACCGCTCCAAGTAGGTGCCATGGATTCACAAGTTACTTACCTGGGGACCAACCTATCCGAGCATGAAAGGTTAGCTATCGGACAAGTAGTCCTTGACAACAATGATTTATTTGCATGGCATCCCTCTGACATGCCCATCATCGACCCCAATTTTCTCTTCCACAAGCTTTTAGTCAGCAAGGAGGCAAAGCCAATTGCCCAACAGCGCCGAAAGGCCGACGAAGAGAGGAAAGTCGCGATCGAGGTCGAAGCCCGCAAGTTGTTGGACGCTCGGTTTATCTGAGAGGTGCACTATACGACCTGGCTGGCTAATGTCGTCATGGTTAAAAAACCGAATGGGAAGTGGCGCATGTGCACCAATTACACCAGCTTGAACAAAGCCTGTCTGAAGGACGCCTACCCATTGCCAAACATCGACCAACTTGTTGATGGGGCATCCGGCCATAAATTCTTGTCTTTCCTTGACGCGTACTCCAGATATAACCAAATCCGTATGCACCCTCAAGATGAAGAAAAAACGGCGTTCATTATCGAAACGACCAATTATTGCTACAGGGTGATGCCGTTCGTGTTAAAAAATGTTGGCGCCACCTATCAGCGTTTAATGAATAAAATCCTTAGCGACCAGATCGGCCAAAGCATGGAGGTATATGTCGACGATATGGTTGTAAAGTTGAGGGACGTCTCCGCACACGAGGGAGACTTAGCCGATGTGTTTCAGGCGCTTCGGCAACACCGAATGAGGCTTAACCCCGAGAAATGTGTGTTCGGAGTCTCGGGTGGCAAATTCTTGGGGTTCATGTTGTCCAACCGAGGAATTGAGGCAAACCCAGACAAATGCCAAGCTATCTTGGACATGAAAAGCCTTAGTAGTTTGAAGGAGGTTCAGAAGCTAACAGGTTGGCTTACTTCGCTTTCCCGCTTCCTCCCTTGCTTGGCCGAGATAGCCAGGCCCATCCTACTTCTACTTAAGAAGACAAAACGGTTTAGATGGACCGAAGAGTGCGAAGATTCTTTTCGGCAGTTCAAGGAACGTCTTAGCACGCCCCCAATACTGTCTAAACCGGTCGGCAGCCTAGACATGATTGTCTACTTAGTAGTCTCAAGTGACTCGATAAGTGCCGTCATGGTACAAGAGAACCAGGGCAATCAACAACCAGTGTATTTTATCAGCCGGGCATTGCAGGAAGCCAAACTGCGCTACCAGTTGTTAGAAAAGTGGCTTTAGGGCTCATCTACACTGCCCGACGGCTGAGACAATATTTCCAAAGCCACAAGGTAGTCGTCTGAACCGATTGCCCGATTACAAAAGTGCTCCGGAAGCCCGAAATTGTTGGCCGAATGATGGCATGGTCGGTCGAACTCTCTGAGTTCGATGTGTCGTTTGAGCCGAGAGGTCCCATCAAGTCGCAATACCTGGCCGACTTTGTCAACGAGTTAACCCCTCCAGGATGTTTCGAGGACGAGCCGTGGACCATGCATGTCGACGGGTCCTCTAATGCCCAAGGTAGTGGTGCCGGGGTAATCCTTGCTAGCCCCTCAGGTATCATAGTCGAACAATCCCTTCGTTTCGGCTTCCGGGCATCCAACCATCAAGCGGAGTATGAAGCTTTGCTAGCCGGGATGAGATTAGCGACTGAGATGGGTGTGAAAAAGGTTATATGTTGGACCGATTCCAAAATTGTGGCCGAACAGGTCAATGATAATTTCCAGGTCAAGGATTCAAACTTGTTACAATACTATCACTTGTTCCAGGGACTCAAGGATGGTTTTAGTGAAGTTCAGGTACGACATATCTTGCGTATCAACAATGAACAAGCCGACCAGTTGGCTCGGCTCGCCAGCAGCCGAAAGCCGGGGCAGTTGCGAACAACCATCCATCTTGAGATTTCTCCAAGTGTGACTGCTGAGTGCATGATGACCAACATAGAAACGCCGACCTGGATGACCATGATCCAGAATTTCATCATCCACGGAAATTTGCCAACTGACCCGATGCAAGCAAGAAAAGTACGAACGCAAACGGCTCGTTACTCGGTGGTGGACGACGAGCTTTATAGAAGGGGATTCTCCACCCCATTACTTAAATGCGTCAATGATCAGCAAGCCGATTACGTGATGAGAGAAATACACGAGGCTATATGCGGTTCTCACTCAAGGGCGCGAACCTTGGCGGCGAAACTCCTACGAGCTGGTTATTATTGGCCGACTCTAAAGGGCGATTGCGCCGAGTTCGTCAAAAAATGTGTGCAATGCCAAAAGCACGGAAACCTCATCCACGCCTCGGCCACCGAATTACATAGTATCAGCTCACCGTGGCCGTTCGCCTTGTGGGGCATAGACATACTTGGACCATTTCCCATAGCAAAAGGCCAGGTCAAGTTCCTCCTGGTCGCGGTGGATTACTTCACGAAGTGGATAGAGGCCGAACTGCTTGCCTGCATCTCCGCCGCCAACGTTCAGAAATTCGTGTGTAAGAATGTGGTTACTCGTTTCGACATCCCGTACACCATCATCTCGGACAACGACCTTCAATTCACTGAGAAAAAGTTCAACTCTTTTCTTGAAAACCTCGGCATCCGGCACCGGTTCACATCAGTTGAACATCCTCAATCAAACGGGCCAGCCGAGGCGGCCAACAAAGTAATACTGACGAAATTAAAGAAGAGGTTGGGTTCGGCAAAATGAGCATGGGCTGAAGAATTACCGGAAGTCCTTTGGGCATACCGATGTACACCCCAATCAACCACCAAGGAAACACCTTTTCGCCTAGCATACGGCGCGGACGCTATGATTCCGGTTGAGGTCGGTGAACCATCATTCCGCCGGCAGCACTTCAACGAAGAGTCCAACGATAACTCACTCCGCGCTGAGCTCGATGTCCTAGACGAAGTGAGGGAGAAGGCACAGATTGTGGCCGAGGCGTTCAAACAGCGAATGAGCCCACGCTTTAATTCCAACTTAAAGCCGAGGACATTCCATGAAGGCGATCTTGTTTGGAGGGCAACTGGATCGGCAAGATGCAACTCTGCCGAAGGGAAGCTATTAGCCAACTGGGACGGCCCGTTCCGAGTACGACATGCTCTCCATAATGGAGCGTACAAGTTGGAAGAACTGTCCGGCAAGGTCCTCCCGAGAACGTGGAATTCGACCCATTTGAAGATGTACTGTAGTTAGTAAACTCATGTATTTGCACATCAAGTTTGTAATATGGTGCACTCTTTTCCTTGACCGATCTTTTTTCCCCTTATAAAATCGTGAAAAGGGTTTTTTGGTCGGCAAGGTTTTTAACGAGGCATCAATTCATTAATGAATATACATCCTGAGTACCCAAGATTGTCACTTAAACGTTTAACCATTACTTTTACAAGTCTTCCCTCCCGAGATTACTCTCGGCCAAGGACGTGGCTTAATTACTTTTACAAGTCTTCCTTCCCGAGATTCCTCTCGGCCAAGGACGTGGCTTAATTACGTTTACAAGTCTTCCCTCTCGAGATTCCTCTCGGCCAAGGACATGGCTTAATTACGTTTACAAGTCTTCCCTCCCGAGATTCCTCTCAGCCAAGGACATTAACTTTGACAATTCAGAAGGTGAAGAAGTTGAAGGCTATGCCCCTTTGGCATTCAATGAAGAGAATGATTACATTGAGGAAGAGGAGGAGAATGATGATGATGAGGAGGATGATTAGAGTAGCAAAATGCTTCTTGTACTCTTGTTTTTCTATGTTTTTTGTTGTGTTTTAATCAATTATGTTATGAGACAATGAATTATGGTATTTTGTTACGCCTAGTATACATTAGAGGCTCTCCAACCCCTGAAGCATCATAAACTTGATTCCAAGTAAGTGGATCATTTCCACCAAAAACCCTCTCATCTAGAGCTTCAACTTCATCATCATCATCCCCATCCATCTCTCCAACCAGCCATTCATTACATTCATCAATATCATTAAGGCTAATGGGATCAACTTCATCCTTAAGGTTGTATCTTCGCATGAGTGCTTGATTATACTTAACATAGACCAAGTCATGTAATTTTTTATGATCAAGCCTATTTCTTCTCTTAGTATGAATCTGCAACATTAAATTAAATAATTAAGTAAACATTTTAAAATATTTGGAACTAATAAGACTCTTCAAAAGAAAATTAATTACTTGCTCAAAGACGCTCCAGTTACGTTCACAACCGGATGAACTACAAGTCAAGCTCAATATCTTTATTGCTAGTTGTTGTAAATTGGGGGTTGATGAACCATAAAGTCTCCACCATTGAGCTATAAAGTCAAAAGAAAGTGTGTTAAATATGGAACAATTAGTAGAATAGAAGTTTAAAACTCTTAAAGGTTTAGTTTCTAACCCGGTGAAACCTTTTTCCTCATTGCTACAGCAAGTTCAGTCCCAAACAATTCTCCTGCAACTTTATAAGTGTGTAGCTCCATCATGATTTTTTGCTCCACTTGCAAATCTCCTACCAACTTATTCATGCTTGCATAAAACCCTCTTATAATCTCACTATCAAATTCCATTTGAGGGTTGTCATAATACATCTCTGGATTCAAAAAATGACCAGCTGCATGTAATGGGCGATGAAGCTGAACATCCCATCTTCTATCAACAATTTCAAACACGGCTTTATATTTAGTCTCATTGTTATTGAAAGACTTCATAATAGCCTCCTTTGCCTTATCCATAGCTTCATATATATA